CCCCCCCCCCATCCCCCCGCCTTGCCCAGACTGGGAGGGGGAGGAAGGCTCCCTGGCTCATGCCGACGAGGTGAGAAAAGGCCACCAAGCTCCTGTCTGTCTATTTGGAACCGGCCCTAGGGCAGGGCTTGAACTCGGGTCTGACTCCCTCCCTCGTCTGGTACTGTGAACAGCAGGGACTTGATCCAGCCCTGAATCCTCATCTGGGGAGGAGAAATGTGAGCTCATGGTGCCATTCACCTCCCAGGGTCACATGCTGAGCAGCTGCTCCGCGGCCCGGTTCCTGGGGGCTGTCCTGGAGTGCGTGGCAGGCCGCTGACCTGAGCGTGGCACCCGGCGTCCCAGCAGGGTGAGGGATGGGCCTGTTCAGCTGCTGGGGAGCAGATGTGCCCCAGCCTGAGCACAGGCCTCTGTGGGCCACTCAGCACCTAACTTTGGGGAGTGTCAGGCAGCCGTCAGCCAAGCCCCGGGAAGTGCCGATTTGCCAGTCGGCGTTACTGTGTATGGCGTGCCAGTGGGCTGCTGATCTCAGCTAGGCCCGGTCAACGCACCGTGACCCCGCTGAGTTCCCTAGGGCTACCATCCTGGCACAAGGGAGAGACTCCAGCCTGCTCCGTTCTCCACCCTCCCTCCTGCCCAGATTTCGGATGCTCCCTGGCAGGCAGGGTGACGCTGGAATCTCTTGGACAATCCAAGGAGCAGGCTGTGCACTGAGGCTCCCTCCACAGCAGACCTCAGCCCCCATCTCAGGAGGTGCCAGCCAGCTTCGTCCTTCGGAGCTGTGCTTCCAGCCCCCCAGGTCCAGCGTGCAGGAGGATGAAGCAGGGCTGGCACCGGTTGGCACTATCATGCCACGCTCCAGCAAGCCCGTCTCCTGGGAGGGCAAGCGGCCTGCAGAGCTGGGCGAGGCTCAGCACTGCCCGTTCACAGGCCTCCTGTCAGTACAGGCCCCGGGCCCGGCGCTCGCTGGCCATGCACTGCCGTCTGGTGAATGAGGGCTGGGTGTGTGCACACGCTTGGGGGGCGGAGGGGCTGGGCTTGAACCGTGCCAAGGAAAGCCGTTACGAGAGCCACTGCCCCACAGCGGGATGGCAGCAGGGCTCCCATGGCGCGGCCATGTCTCACGTGATGGGAGGGAGGGGTCGCTGGCGGTCTCTCCCACCAGCCCCCATTTCACTGAGGTGCCAGGAGGGAAGGATTCCCTCTCCCTTGCCTGGTTTCTCAGCCTCCTCTCTCCCCACAGGGATCCCCCCCGTGCCCCTCAGCGCAGGCCAGAGCCGGGGTAGGGTTGCCAGGTGTCTGGTGTTGAACTGGACAGTCCAGTATTTGAGCTTTCTGTTCAGGAAACAAATTGAGAAAATAGAACTGTCCGGTGTGTTCTAAATCAGATGGAATATAGATTGTGATGTCATGTCAAGTGTGTCCGGTATTTTTGTTGAAACCATCTGGCAACCCTAGCCAGAGGGGGTCTCTTTGGACCAGCTAGTATGAAGGCAACGCAGCTCCCACCCCCCCGGCCCAGCATGGCGCATCCAGAGATGGCTCCCAAGCCCCAGGGCTCGCTGTGGGAGGCACAGGGTAACGCGTGCTGCTCCCCCTGCAGGGCATGGACTTGGAGGAAAAGGACTACAGCGAAACCGATGGGCTGTCGGAGAAAACCACGCCCAGCAAGACCCAGAAATCCCCACAGAAAATCGCCAAGAAGCTCAAGAGTGCCATCTGCAGGGTGATGCTGCTCGACGCCTCCGAGTATGAGTGTGAGGTGGAGGTAAGTGCCTGGGGGTCTCCTTAGCCAGAGAATGTGTCTGTGTCACTCTGTCGCCTCTGCCGGGCCCTGCTCTGCCGGCGTCCCCGTTCTCGGCCGTAACGGGGCAGTAACGCGGCTGGGGGGATTCTGTCATGGCGAGGCAGAAAAACACCCCGTCTTCGTTTGAAAATGAGTTGCTGGAGCTCACACAGGGCCCGAGTCACAGAATAGCTCAGGCTAGACGACCACAGCCGGCTTTACTGGCTTTATAATCTGCATGTGCCTTGGTTTTACCTCAGGAGGCCAAGCTGCTTTGCCCCAGAGAAACGGCAGCGCAGCAGGAGTAAGGTGCGTCTGGCCCCGCTCTCTAGCTGTGCGAGAGGAGACCGGAGGCTGCTCCCTACTCTTGGCCTGTAACCAGCTGACTCCAGGCCTGACACCTCTGACATGGCAGCAGTTCTCAGGGTGAGAGGTCACTCCGTAGGCCAGGGGTGGGCCAATTCCAGCCTGTGGGCTGAATCCAGTCTGCAGGGTTAGTCCCTGGAGGGCCCCGACCTCCATGTTTACCTGCACCTCCCTAGATATTGGAGGGTCTCAGGTCTGGCTAGTCACAAATCACCGTGTGCGGCCAACGCAAGTGGTGGGAAGTCTGTACTGCTTCCCGCCGCTTGCATTGGCTGTGGACGGCAATTTGCGGCCAACCAGCGCTGCGATCCTTCGATACCAGCAGAGGCGCAGGTTAACTTAGCGGTGGCAGCCCACCAGGGGCTAACCCTGCAGGCTGCCTTTTTTTATTGCCCACCTCTGCCCTAGGCGGTGTAACAGTGCCGGCCTTTTCGTCTGGGAAGGAGGAGACTGCTGAGCTAATGGGCGGGTGGGCAATACTCCAACCCCTACCGGTTTACTGGAACTGGTACACTCCATCCGTTAAGGCTCACCAGTTAACCATTCAATTATTCAACCACCACAGGACATACCACACTAACCCCCATTTGCCTCTCATGTGCACAATGCTATGGGGAAAGGAATGATTAAAGTTTCAAAGCCAAGCAGTCGGCAGTTAGGAAATGCCGGAGTTAAGGTCCCCCTGCAGCCTTAATTTCTCCCCGTTTCACATGTTATGATACTGTCTTTAGTTCCAGGTGACATGCTGTTTTTCCCACAGGCCCCTGCCTCTCTCAGTGCACAGGCTGGATGGTGCTCTCGCGGGCGATGCTTTGCCTACAAGCTAGGGGTGCGATTCCCTGCTCACGTACTAGTAGTTGTGCTGGCTCTCATCAGGCAGCGTGAGAACAAATAACATTGGACCTGCGATAGCCAGGGAGTAGCAGTCCAGCATGGCCTAGCCACATGTAAGCCAGCCTGAGGCTGGTGGGCTGTATTCAGCATGGCTAAGCCAGGCCTTGGCTGCTGCTCCCTGTGCTAGTCTGTGAGCACACTGCCGTTCGTGCTCACAGCTCGATAACCATGAGCCCTGGCTCAGTGGCGCCTCAGTGAGCAGCTCTTCCACATTCTGTTTTCTTCTCGTTCTTCAGCGTGTGGCCCAGACCCCATGGGCTGCCCACTTTCCAACTCTGCTCGGAAGCCAGAATTTCCACATGGGCTTTCTTATGCTGCTCATCTGAGTGCGTCACCGTCATTAATGGATTTATCATCCCTACTCCCCTGGGAAACGAGGCGTAAAGAGATTAGAGTCAAAAGGTCTCCAGGAGTTTTGGGTGTCCAGTGGGAGACTCCCAGGACCTGATCTTTCAGAGTATTCAGCATTCTGCCTCTAGAGCTGGTTCCTGGTTGGGGACACATGTGCCTCACGTGCCCAGAGCCTTTGGAAGCAGAGTCCGTTGGTCTGCACGTGTGGCCTGCCAACAGCTGATACAAGGTGCCGGGTAATGGCAGCTGCCTCTGTGATCCATAGGGAATGGTGACTCCATGCATTGGGCTTTCCCCCAGTACGTTCGGAACTCTAATGCAGACCTGCGCAGTGGTGAGATTCATCTGTTCAGGCCACAGATGGACGACTCCTTATGTACTTGAAAGGAACCCAGGAGCACCGTCCCCTCCCTGGAAATATGTACACCTGCCCTGAGGGGAGAATTCCACCAGCTGCAATACTGGCCTCGCCCGATGGCTCAACAGCTCCTCACCAGACAGCTTATAAGCCATCCCATAAGAGGCAGAGAGCTCAAAAGACCCTCTTCCCCCAACCTCTGCAGTTCATTACTCATCCCTATCGCAGCTCTCGGCTAAATGTTGTTTTTAACAGGTGCTTGACAACTAAAAGCCGCTGAGTCTAACATCTCCTGGCTCGTGCACACCCTTGGATGTTTGTCCCCCTTCTTTGTCAACATCTGGGGTACATCTAAATTACATGGCTCTGTCGATGGAGCCATGTAGATTTGTTTTTTTGGCAAAGGGAAATGAAGCCGCGATTTAAATAATCGCGGCTTCATTTAAATTTACATGGCTGCCGCGCTGAGCTGACAAACAGCTGATCAGCTGTTTGTCAGCTCAGCGCGGCAGCCATGTAAATTTAAATGAAGCCGCGATTATTTAAATCGCGGCTTCATTTCCCTTTGCCAAAAAAACAAATCTACATGGCTCCATCGACAGAGCCATGTAATTTAGATGTACCCCAGATGTTGACAAAGAAGGGGGACAAACATCCAAGGGTGTGCACGAGCCAGGAGATGTTAGACTCAGCGGCTTTTAGTTGTCAATCACCTGTTAAAAACAACATTTAGCCGAGAGCTGCGATAGGGATGAGTAATGAACTGCAGAGGTTGGGGGAAGAGGGTCTTTTGAGCTCTCTGCCTCTTATGGAGTGCAATAACAGTGGAGAGATGGGTGCTCAGCTCATGCATTCCAGATGGACGATAGAGTTTGCATCCCTACCCTCCAAAACCCTCCCGCTACCTCCTTTGAGAGTTGCTTTCACAAGAACATTCTCCATGAGGAGCGAGAGCACAGGTTCTTCCTCAGTCCCTTCTGAGGGGGGTTTATTTGCATATTTTCCAGTTCCCAGAAAGAAAGGGGGTTGGAGGCTCATTCTTGCCCACTGCCACTTTGTGCATAAATTCAAAGTTTCATAAGGTTAGGCTGGCGTCTCTCGTTCCACCCCTGGAGAAGAGCCTGTGCTTCACAGCTCTTGGCATAAAGGACATCTGCTTTCCCCAGGACGTCCATCCCGTTCACCAGCACTTCCTCAGATTCATAGTAAGCTCCTCCCGCTTTCAGTACAGAGGCTCCTTTTCAGCATTGCTCCCAGCCCGGGGTATTTCCTGTGATGTGCTGGTTGCTGTAAGATAAGAGACACTCTTGGAAAGCACTTCATGTGTTCACAGCACAGCTCCCCTCAGCTCCAGTGGCAGCGGTGAGCAGGTCAGACCGCAGTCTCTCAATCAGGCCTCCAGAAAAGGAGGAACATGCAATTAGTGCCCACCTGTGAAAAGTTTTGGTTTACACGTTGCACCAAGCATCATCCGGGAGCTCTGCACCATTCAATGTCCTTAACTATGAGACTGTCCTTCCACTTCCCACAAGCCCCTGTCTTGTTCACTGCACACCTTCCAACTTCTGCAGCAAATGCAACAGGGGTCTTTCAGTCTCCTTCACTAATAACCCTGATTCTCCTTCACTAATAACCCTGATTTTGGCCACAAGCCCCCTACTTCTTCCGTGCACAGGACGGGCCACCAAGCCCGTCCTGTGCACGGAAGAAGTAGGGGGCTTGTGGCCAAAATACATATGATTGTGCAACTGAAGACTATCGCAGTGCAAGCTCCCCATGTAAAAGCCCACCTTACGCCTGGTCTTTCCTAGCATCTGGGCACTTGACTTTGCAACTTTAAGAACGTGCCTTGCACGTTGTTACTTTGGAGGTCGATTTCCTAGGGTTTGCAATAGGCAAACTGAACACACAGAAATTCTTTCCTATGGTGTCACATGGGTCCTCAGCAGGCATGGAACCTTCAGATCTGCGCAGAGACCTCAGCCAGTTGAGCTGTTGTCGGTTGTCATCCTGTGTGCGGGCCAGCATCGAAGAGGGAGGGGAGACACGTTGCCAGTGGGTTTCTCATGTGTTCACTGCTAGCAGAGAAATGGTGAAACTCAGGGACCTGGGCTTCTGTTGCAGGCTCTGTTGGATATCCTTTGCCCCATCCCCTCCAGGCTGCCCGTCTCAGTCTTGTCTCTTTACCACGGCCTCTCCCCCAGACCATTCTCCTTGCCCAGCCCCAGGGTTCTCATCCCAGACCCAACCTCCTTGCCCAGACAGCTCTGGTCTCCCTCTTCTCAGCACCTCGTGATCTGTCTCTTCATTTCTCGCTTGTCTTCAGTCACACGCGCTCCCAACCCACATTTCCCATCCTCACTGGCTCCCTCCCCAGGCTCCTAGTCCAACTGCAGTGCCCCCCACCCCATTTACTGATACACATAGACACATGCACGTTCATGCTCCTACAGCCAGACAGGCAGACAGATGTGCATGTGCAACCCGAGACGTGTGTACACAGGCACAGATAGAGGCACACGCTTTCAGAGTGCACAGATGTGCACGCAGAGGCACACATTTGCACACCCACCAGCACAGATGCATAAGCAAGCCAATGGGGTAGCTGTGTACCTTATCCCCCCACCCTTTGATTTCCCATCTTCAGAGCAGAGCTCTCCTATGCCAGAAAACACTTCTGCCTTTTAGCTCGGTAAGGCATCTGGGGCGCCTGGGTCGGTAACGGAAGTCCCCATTCACGTAGACACAGACAAATCCCCAAGTGCACATGGACACACGCACACACGTGAATGGAGTGAGAATGCAAATCTGACTCATGCATTTCAGTGCGGGGGCTGCCTGCTATTTGTGTATCATGGCGAAAATGAAGCACAGGCGTGTGTGGGTTAGAGAGTGAGTGAGAGAGCCTGTGTCACTGTGACAGCGGCTGGCCTCGCTCGAGGGAGGAGCGCTTGCAGCACGTAAAGCAGTGCTACTCAGACTGAGGCTCACAGGCTGCAAGCCCCTCCTTAGC